GCCAATGTTGTAGTTGATGCCTTAATTCGCAAGACCTTGCATATATCGGCAATGATGGCCAAAGAGTTGGAATTGATTAAGCAATTCAGAGATCTGAGCTTAGTCTGCGAAGTGACACCAAAGAGTGTAAAGTTGGGCATGTTAAAGATTAATAATGACTTTCTGGACAACATCAGAGAAGCTCAGAAATTAGATGTGAAGTTGGTAGATTTAATGCCCGGGGTGGATCATTAGGAAAAAAATGATTATCGGTTGGATGCGAAAGGAGCATAAACCTTTGACGGTGGGCGAAGGTTTGGCCTTTAAGGGAAAATTCTTGCAAAAGGATGGTAAGTTCGACAAGAAGAAAGGTAAAAGTCAACAGAAGTCTTATAGTGGCAAAACATCTGGTATTCGATGTTATCACTGTAAGATGGAGGGTCACATAAGAAAGGTGTGCCCTGAACGCCTGAAAGATCATGGAGGTAATGACAACGCAACCATTGTTTAAGATGACTTCGACTCATCTGATGTTCTTGTGGTTTCAAGTGGCGACTCGAGAAAAGAGTAGACTATGAATTCAGGTTGCACTTGGCACATGACTCCAAACAGAGAATTGTTCGAGGAGCTATGTGATCAAGATGTTGGATCTGTGCTGTTGGGAAACAACAAATCTTGCAAAATTGTAGGTATTGGATATGTGAGATTCAAGCTCCATGATGAGTCAATAAGGTTATTGGAGGAAGTTAGGTATGTACCTGACTTGAAGAGAAATTTGATTTCTCTTGGTGAATTCGACAGAAAGGGATATGTTTTTAAGGAGAGAAAAGTATCCTAAGAGTCATGAAGGGGTCGAAGGAAGTCTTGAGAGGCGTGAAGAAACAAGGTTTGCATACCCTTGAGGTTGAGGTTGTAAGTGGTTCGACAAATGTTGCACCCATAAAACCTGTGTTGAGGACAAAATTATGACACATGAGATTGGGCCATGTCAGCGAAAGAGGCCTGGTCGAATTGGGGAAGTAGAACCTGCTAGGAGGTGACAAAGTCGAAAAGTTGGAGTTTTGTGAATCTTGTGTATTTGGTAAATCCTGTAGGACAAAGTTTAACAAAGGCAAACAAAGAACACATGGATCTCTGAATTACATTCATGCTGATCTTTGGGGGCCTGCAAGGAATTCTTCACACTCAGGTGCAAGGTATTTTCTATCCATCGTTGATGACTATTCTAGAAAGCTATGGGTATTCATTCAGAAGACGAAGGATGAAACTTTTGAGAATTTCAAAAGTTGGAAGATTCTGGTCAAAACTCAAACTGGAAGAAAAGTTAAGAGGTTGAGAACCGAAAATGGCCTTGAATTCTGCAACGAAGCGTTCGATAGTTACTGTGTTGAGTCTGGGATTGCAAGGCACAAGACTGTTGCAAGTACTCCTCAACAAAATGGCTTAGCTGAGAGATTCAATCGAACAATCCTTGAAGGGGTTATATGCACGTTGGTTAGTGCTGGATTGAAGAAGGTGTTTTGGGCGGAAGCTGTTTCGACAACAGCTTACCTGATAAACATATGTCCCTCGACTTCTTTGGGAATGAAGACACCTGAAGAAGTTTGGTTGGGACATCCACCTAGTCTCGACGGACTGAGAGTATTTGGCTGTGTGACCTATGCTCACATTAGGCTAGACAAGGTCGAACCTAGAGCTCTGAAATGCATGTTCATAGGATACCTTGAAGGAGTCAAAGCTTATAGGCTATGGTGCCTAGAGCCAGGTTATAGGAGGCGTATCACCAGTCGAGATGTAGTTTTCAATGAAGCAGAGATGGCTTTCAAGAAAACTAATGATGCTGACGAAAGCTGGAACAGGGAAAGATTCCTATTGAGGTGGAGCATGTTGATGATGAATTACGTACCCTAGATGAAGTCGAAGAAGACGCAAAAGATGTTGTCGAAGATGAGGAGACTGATAATGACTACCTGCTAGCAAGAGACAAGTCGAGGAGATGAAGAACATAAAGACTATAAGGAAGTTATGAGGAGTCGAAAGAAGACTGAATGACTGTAGGTCATGGATGATGAGATGAAATATCTTCATGATAACAACACATGAGAACTGATCAAGAAACCTGCTGGAGCCAGGTTAGTCAGTTGTAAATGGATTTTCAAAGTTAAGGAAGGAATCAAAGAAGTGGCGTCGAAGAGATACAAGGCAAGATTGGTTGCTAGGGGGTTCACTCAGAAAGAAGGTATTGACTTCAATGATGTGTTCTCTTCTGTTGTGAAGCACAAATCCATTCGAATGTTGCTTGCCACAGTGGCACAGTTCGACCTTGAACTGGAACAGATGGATGTGAAAACTGCGTTCTTGTATTGTGACTTAGATGAAAGAATCCTGATGAGACAACTGAAGGGTATGTCGAAAAAGGGAAGGAAGATTATGTGTGCAAGCAGAATAGATCCTTATATGGACTGAAACAATCTCCTCGACAGTGGAATACGAGATTTGACAAGTTCATGGCACGCATAAGTTTTATCAGAAGTCAATTCGACCACTGTGTTTACTTCAGATTTTGACCGGATAATTCATTTATTATTTTTTTGCTCTATGTGGATGATATTCTAATAGCAAGCAACAATGTCGAAGATGTAATGAGGGTGAAGGTTGAACTCAATAAAGAGTTCGACATGAAGGATCTGAGAGATGCGTCCAGGATTCTTGGGATTGACATCCGGAGAGATAGAAAGCAGTCAAAATTATGCTTATCTCAAGAGGCATACCTACAGAAGGTTCTCGAAAAGTTTGGTATGTCGAATTCAAAGCCTGTTGTAACTCCGACGAACCCTCAATTCAAGCTGAGTATAGATCAGTATCCCATCACTGATGTTGAGAGAACTTATATGAATAGCATTCCATATGCTAACATAGTAGGTTCTTTGATGTATGTTATGGTATGTACTAGAGCCGACATAATATATGCAGTAAGTCTTGTAAGCAGGTACATGGCGAATCCTGGAAAGGCTCACTGACAAGCATTGAAGTGGATTTTAAGGTACACAAATGGGTCTCTGAATAGAGTCATAATGTATGGTAGAGCCTTGGGTGAAGATAGTGAAGCAACAATCGAAGGATATGTCGACTCTGATTGTGCAGGTTGTATGGATTCCAGAAAATCTATCTTTGGATATGTGTTCACTATGTTTGGGACAACAATCAGTTGGAAAGCAACACTTTAGAAGGTCGTTGCCTTATCAACCACTGAAGCGGAGTATATTGCCCTAACTGAAGTTGTGAAGGAAGCATTGTGGCTTGAAGGTTTTGCAAAGGAGCTAAAACTTCAAGGTCGAGTTATCACTGTTAAATGTGATAGTCAAAGTGCAATACACCCGTCAAAGAATTCAGCCTATCATGAGCGAACCAAACACATTAATGTGAGGCTGCATTTTGTCAGAGGGGTAATCGAGCATGGAGAAGTCCAAGTGCTGAAGGTTTCGACAGATCATAATACTGCTGATATGATCACCAAGACGTTGTCCAATTGCAAGTTTTTCCACTGTATGCAGTTAATAAAACTGCATGAAGAAAGCTAGTTTCTTGATGTTATAGAGTTAGATCCAAGGTGGAGATTTGTGAGATGCTGGATCGAACTCTAGTATGGTCGAAGTCTGTTCGCGAGTAATGCGTGTTGTAGTCGAAGTTTGTTCTAACATGCATTAGTCAATATTGCTAGGGTTGTTAGCATGTTGAATTAGGTCTTGCTTGTAAGCTCAATTGTTTAAGTTAGTTTGTACCCCAAGTTAGCTTGTAATAGGTAATTGTTAAAAACCCATTAGGTTAGTGTGCTATTTTTCTTATAAATAGGATGCTAGTTTTTCAATCTTGTCATAAGGAAAAATAGGAAGATAAAATCCTAATTTCAAGAGAGAGATTATTTTGTTATTCTTTTATACTTGTAATCTTGTTCTAAGACAAAGGAAAGAATAGAAGTTTAATAACTAATCTTTTTTGTTCCTTGTTGTTTTACCTTTCTTCTTTGTTAACCCTAACCCTTATGTGTTTCTAGATCAAGAAAAAACTGTTTATACTTTGTCTCAAAATATCCGATTCACAACACTATTGAATCATTTCAAATATTTTAAAATTATAAATTTTGAACTCTTAAAAAAATTATTTTAAATCTTTTAAAAATCGAAATCTTAAAAAGAAAAAGTATGAAAAGACAATATAACGCTATAAATCTTTTAAAAGTTTTTTAATCAAAATACTCTATTGAAATCTCAATCCAACACACTCCTAATTTTAACTACTTTATTAATATATTATGTAATCTCAATTCCTTTATTAAATAAAATAAATAAATAAACCTGTAAAGTTCTTTTTTTTTTTGGAAAAACAAATCTTTAAGTTTGACCTTTTATCATCTATAAAAGAAATGCTATCTTGAAATCTCAGTTACTTTACTAATTTATAAATATAATCACAATATACCTATTTTTAGGATTAATCAGATATTCTCTATGTACAATTAACTATTCGAGTGAAAAATAATTACAATAAATAACATAATTTTTATGTTAATAGATTGAGGTTTTACAATTTATCTATTAATTTAAAGAAATGAATAAAATTATAAATACTTTTTTTTTTGGATAAACTAATCTCTAAGTGTGACTTTATTATTATCACTTATTAAAGAAATGTTAATTATTGATTAGATTAGACTCATAGAACTTCATTGGTCAAGCACCAATATCTTTTCTATCTATGTATGATTCAGATGCATGCATTCACTCTTCGACTCAATTATTTTCACGGTAATTTTCCTTACTTTCCTTTCACGATGATAACTAGCTTATTGTCTTTATGCATATTCCAGAATATTACTTTTTTTCTCTCAGTAACATGTGATTTTTTTCTGAATGCTGAATTAAACAAATGGGGGATGAACCCTAATTTTACCTTTTTTTTTTCGAAATTTCTATAAATCTTGATACCCCAATTGCGTCTTAGTGTTAGATTTCGAGAAAAAAATGGAGAACGATCTTAAAAGCAACGAAACCCCTTTGTTATCTTCCAAAAAAACTTCAAAGCTTCAAACTTTGGGGAATATCATTGTCACTGTTGTTGGAACTGGTGTTTTGGGTTTGCCCTTTGCTTTTCGGATTGCTGGTTGGGTTGCGGGGTCGCTTGGTGTCGCTATCGTTGGCATTTCAACCTACTATTGCATGCTCCTTCTTGTGGGTTATCTTCACTTTTTCTCTATTTTGCTGTAAAGTCAAAATGTTAGACCATGTACAGTTTTTTATGCTGATTCATTTTCTTTTCTTTTTTTCATGCTTAAAAAAATAATCATAATTTCACTACTTTCCAAATTCTCTAGCTATTTTTATTAGGACATGGATCATGGGTTGCTACTTCATTGACTTGGTCCTAATTTGATGATTATATTTGCTAAAAGAACCTGATTTAAAGTTACATTGAACTTTTTTCATGTTACGATTTCTGCCATTAGTATACTGTATTTGGATTCTGTGCATGCATTGATCTTGGCTGTCTGATATCAAATCGACGGGGAAGGTGTAATATGAGCTGAACGATCTCAAATTTCTGGCCGAGATCAATTTATGTGTGTAACTTCATGTTTCTTTAAATGCAGGGAATCCAGATTCAGCTTGCTTCTTGTCATTACACTGTTTGATTTTTATTTCATTGATATAGGTTAAGTGCAGAGATAAGTTGGCAATAGAAGAACCATTAGTGGAGTCAAGATCATATGGAGACCTGGGTTATAGATGCTTTGGAACCTTGGGTCGGTATCTGACCGAAGTTGTACTCGTGGTAGCACAATGCGCAGGGTCTGTTGCATATTTGATATTTATTGGGCAAAACCTTGATTCTGTATTCCAAAGAAATGGACCCTCGGTTACCACTTACATATTTATGCTAGTACCAGTTGAAATTGGATTGTCATGGATAGGGAGCTTATCATCTTTAGCACCATTTAGCATTTTTGCTGACGTGTGCAATATCCTAGCTATGGGAATTGTAGTGAAGGAAGATGCACGACAGGCCTTAGAAGGTGGACTTCCATTTGGGGAAAGGACGGCAATCACATCGAACATTGGGGGATTACCATTTGCAGCAGGCATGGCCGTTTTCTGTTTTGAGGGATTTGGAATGACACTAGCCCTAGAGAATTCTATGCGGGATAAATCTAAATTCCCAAAATTGCTGGCTCAGACTTTTAGTGGGATTACACTTGTATACATTCTTTTTGGGTTATGCGGTTACATGGCTTTTGGTGAAGAAACTAAAGACATTGTGACCCTTAATCTCCCTAGAAATTGGTCATCGCTTACCGTACAGGTAGTAAAGACTAAAGACATTCATATTTGTATGGAGTTCTTAATATTTCATTGTTTGTCTTCAAATTTGTCGCATTTCTTATTGCTCAGTGTTTAACATCTAGCATTTTATATGACAGGTAGGATTATGCCTGGGGCTTATGTTCACATTCCCAATCATGTTACACCCAATAAATGAAATTGTGGAAGGAAAACTCAAAATCATCCACAGAAACAACAACAACAACGATGATTCAACAGAACCAGGAAAAACTACAATATACACCAGTCGGGCTATTGTGGTGGTTCTTCTGGCTGTCATTGCTTCATTTGTGCCAGAATTCGGCATATTCGCTTCATTTACGGGAAGTACCCTGTGTGCTGCGCTCTCATTTGTTTTGCCAGCCACATTTCACCTAAAACTATTTGGCTCTTCTCTACGCATGTGGCAAATAGTCCTAGATTTTATTGTATTATTCAGTGGAGTATTTTTCGCAGTTTATGGAACTTACAATACAATTGTTGGAGTTTGACACATATGTTATATACTCTTGTTGAAGCACTTAAACAACTCAAATAATGATTTTATGTATCATAGTTAAACATTATGCAGTAATGCATCAATGCATTAACAGGTTCCGTATGTAGACAGTAGAGTACTCAACTGAAGTCCAAAAACATGTCCTTTTCTTCAACTACCGATTTATTATTGTTGTATACTTGTACATGTTGGTCAATCATATCATGGATTTGGTGTAAGGTTTTTAATGAAACGCACCAAAAACAGTATAATCTTGGCATCCACTCCATTTAGTGGATAAGAGAGTACTCTTACTCTTGCCCAATATGAAACACGTAGCAGATTAGAATTTAGTTCATTATAGGTGAAAATCCAAAAACAGAAAACCAAAGAACCCCACGTGGAAAGATATGTTTGGATTTGGAGAATCACGAGGGAACAATATGGGTCTACCTAAGTTCCCTAACACAAATAAAAAACATATTATGATGATTGCGCAGTTATCATATTTTTGTGGGGAAAGACATAATGGATGCATGACAAAAGGGCAATAATGGTTTACCCACTCAGAAAGAGGTGGACATCTACGCTACTTTTGGCATGGATCTATCTATCTATCTGTGAAAGAAAAATAAAAACTTTGATTCTTATTCTTTTTCATGCCAGACAAACAGTAATTTATAAAAAAAATTTAAAAAGTAAAGGCCAGAACAGTGTTGTAACGTCGGTTACCTTTTTTTTTGGTTGATTTATGGACACAACACAAGTTGGGGTTATTCTTAGGATCTATAAAAGATTTGTTCTTGAAAGGAACAAATTTTTCATGTGGGTAGTGGCAGGGGTTGCTCTTTTGAATTCTAGTGAGACTTAATCAAACCTCGTCCACCGTGAACACACCATCCATCCATTCACCTATGAAAATGTGTTATCAAGTGGTTCCTACATATACATATAATTTATTTTTAGTTTTCTTCATAAAGTTTAATAAATATTCTATCCCTTCAATATAAAAATCCAAAAAAAGATATAGTAAATAAGTTCCACTAATAATTATACATCATTATATTTTAAAAATAATTTCTATTTTTCAATTCAAAAGTCTAATTAAAATTATATTGTATAATTTTGCAATTTCTAAAAGTATAATATGTGACAAACTCTAGTGTTGTAGAACTGTTATAGGTTTTTAAAGTTGTTGTGGTGTTAGAGATATTTCACGCAAGGAGGTGATAAACATTGTAGGTTGGTATTTTGGATGAAATGAAATATCCACTCAATATTGAGGTTGAGGTATTTATAAGAATCTCTTAATTTTATATTTTAGGCTCCAACAGAGTAATATTCACTATCAAGAGTGTGGAATGTGGATATTGAACTCCCTTATTATTCTGGAGAATATGATTTTTTTTCTTTTTGACTTCTTCTCCCGCACTGCTATAGATAGGGACACATCACTCTTGTGTTTTCAGAAAAGGCGAATTATATAAGAAATTGACATCACAACTAAATGACGAGGGCTCATTTCAATAAATGGGCGGCTAGAAAGCTCACATGAGTGATGATCTAACATGTCGATCAAAAAGTGAGTGAGTAACAACACGTCTGCGGTCTTGACAGTCCACAGAGAAGGTGAGGTACCTGCAGACACTTTGATGCTTAAGTCAATTCAAACAAAGATGCGAGTAAGAAAGAGTAAAAAATAGAATACCCAACCCTCTTGCAGAGGAGGGTTTTATAGTGAGTCACCAACGCATGGCCAATGGTTTCCGTTGCGGGGTGAGTGTCCAGGGTCACAACGGATGACCGCCAGGACTTCCACGTGAGAGTGGGGATGAGCAGCTTGTGTTCATCGTTCTGCATCAATGCTTCGCACTCCTTGGATAATGGACATACTTGCCCGTTACGAATGGTAGAATGGTTTCACGAAGCGTGCGAGTCAGTTGGTGACGTGTCCTCGGGTGAGGGGCACGTGAGGAATGTGTTCTCCGCTGGCCTTAACGGGTCGGGCCAACACTCTGGTCCATCCTCGACGCAGGACTGAATTGAGTTGTGCTCGACGCCGGGTCAGCTACAGACCTAGTCCAGAACATGAGCCCCCTTAGTCGTTGCCCCTAGGCATGAGGTCAATAACTTAGAGCCAATTCGTGTATCGAGGAAGAGCAGGGGACTCTGCGCGAGGAGAGCCTTCATTTGGGGTTTGCGGTTGTTAGTTCGCGCTTCCGTAGACGTTGTTCGCGAGTTTGAGCCCACGGGGACAGTGCTTCGTTCACTACTCGTTGAGTTTCGCTTTCGAGGAAGATGCGTCGCGCAGAGACTGTGGTCGGAAGCTTAACCTGTGGTCGCGTCAAGCATTTGGCTCTGGTTGCGAGTTGCCAAGTTGGCCGTAAATTTGCTTCAAGTTTTCGCAGGTGCCATGCTCGCGAATGAATGCGAAAGTTTGTCGCCCATGTCCGATAAAAGGGTGTTCGACATCTTAGAGTCCGGACGGTTGAAGGGACTTGTAGAGGCGGTGTTTCGTCTCCTCGAGCCGCATGTCAGAGTCATTTAATGCATAATTATGGCCTATTAGTAGGGGTACTCATGAGCTAGGCGGCGTCACGTTTACCTATGCCCCAGATTTGGCTTATAAATAGGAAGGAGTGGAGAACCATTTGCACATTTCACTCCATTTTCCCCTCTACTTTCCTTCGAGCTTTAGAGCGTTGTCTCCGCCATCCGCCGTCGTCGCCTTCACCGCCACCAACTTTCATCTAATCTTCAAATTAACTTTCGTTTAATCTTCAAACCAAGTAAGTTTTCTTCATCTAATATTCAGTTTGCATCTTAGTTTTAGAACGTAGATTAGTTCTAGAATGTAGGTTAGCTTTTCTTCTTGTGTTTTGTTCCGACAGATGTTGGTGTTTGGTGGTTGTTTTGCCATTTCCAAACACCGGCGATTGGGAGGGATTTTGTGTTAGAAACGTGATTTTGAGTAGGAAAGATGGAATTTGTCTGATATATCTCCTGAAAACCGCTCTGGCGCCACCGTTAAGGCGATGAATAGGACCTACGCCAATGGAGCTTATGAGTTTCCCGATGAAGCTCCGTGTCGAAGAGACTCTTCCTCTCGAAGCTCATGAGTTTTTTTGATGAATCTTCATGTCAAAGAGACTATTCCTCGCGAAGCACATGAGTTTTCTGATGAAGCCTCGTATCAAAGAGGCCCTTCCTCGCAAAGTTCATGAGTTTTCTGACAAAGTCTCGTGTCGAGAAGGCAATTCCTCATGAAGTTTGTGAATTTTGCAATGAAGATTTGTGTATTTTCTGATAAGGCTTCGCGTCGAGGAGGCTTTTCCTCGTGATTTTGTTGATAAGTTGACTGAGACCTCCGTTGAGGAGAACATCCTCGCGATTCCCCTTACTTTCTGTTAAGTAAGGGCTTTGGTCGAGGACAGCGTCCTCGTTCCTCTCCTCGCCCTTTGACTTGATTTGTAGTGGAATGATAGATTTGATTTGATCGTCGAATTCACTATCGTCCTCTGCATTACAGGTTTATATGGATCACAGCACTGAGGGTCTTCACATGATCGACATCATCATTGATCCTGACTTGGCTTGGGTCGGGCCAGAACCACGAGGGGTAGCCTCGTGTTTAGCAAATTCCCCAAAAACAACATTTACAATTGTAGAGGAAGGTGTCGGGTTTCCAGAGGCTCTAGAGAATTGGGAAGTTTATAAAACTGATCGGGAGGAATAAATATGCTCGTCTTTCACAGGGAATCATTTTGCCATGTACGGGTACACTTTAAAGAGCTGGGGGCTTCGGCTGCCATTCAGCAGCCTTCAAGTGGGAATTTTTGACTGGCTAGAGCTAACACCCTCTCAACTGCACTCGAACTCGCTCACATTCATCCGGGCCTTCGAGATCGTATGCCAGTACCTCGAGATCAGTTCCAGAATTCCTCTATTCTTTTGCTGCTTCCACCTTCAACGAAAGACTTTGCATGGGAAGCACAACTGGGTGTCCCTCAAGTAGCTGAAGAAATTGTTCAAAATGTTCACGGGCTCCGTTCGTACCTTTAAGGACAAGTATTATATGGCCAAGCGCATGTCTGTAGCAACTATCAAATTTGTGTTCGAGTGTGTATCTGTAACCGAGGAAGATGGAAGTGTGCGTCTTGATGAGTATAAGGACTAGGTAACGAGGTTGGTCTCGAAGTTCGCCCTTCAATTGAGCAATGCCCACTTTAAGAAGAACATGAATTATTACATCACTAAGCCCAACGAGTTGGACCCCGAGGATCAACGTGGCTACGACAAGCTCGTCAAGTTTATGGACGGCTTCGCTCATTCTCAGTGGCAGACCAAGAACGGGGAGGTTGTCCTCGACGAGTAGGGCCAACCCATATGCGAGGCTCGATACATTAAAACTAAGGAACTCCTCGAGTGTAATACCGCCGAGGAAGCTAGATTGCTTTTAGGTAGTTATTTTTCCTTTAATTTGTTTATATGTTTATTCTTTCTTGGTATATTAACTTGTGTTCGCCCCTTGTCACAGATAACATGGCAAATCTTCAAGATCGCGTGCTTAATATGGCGATGGCCAGAGGGAATACTTCAAAGGGCATAAAGAGGGGCTCTAAGAATAAGCTTGTTAACATCCTGAACTAGTACAAGGTTGACTTTGGCCTCGACTCTTTTTCTTCCTCGGGAGGTGACCAATCTTCTCCTCAATAGGATATGGACACCCCGACCATGAAACGGCAGCACACGAATGGTGCCGTGGAGATAGAACTTACGGAGGAGACTATCGGGGGACAAATTTGCGTTGCCCCTTGCTATTCCAACAGGGGGCTCTTTGGGGGGGTCCTTCTCTTGTCGTGCCTTGATCGCGACTTTCTATGTCTAATACAACTAACTGCAAGTGCACAGTCTATCGCGTAGTAATAATAGATATCGATCCCACAGGAACTCGTAATCAAACTAGTGTTCTCGGGAGTTACTATGTTTAGCTAGGTAGAATATGTTTAAGGG